TCGTCCTCACCATCCTGACCCGAGGAAGGGGACATGTAACCCTTTCGGGGCCACAGCGTTCCCCTTACCCCTCATCCCTCCTCCTCCTCCTCCCCCTTCTCCATCCGCAGCGAAAGCCCCTCCGGCAGCACGAGGCAGGGATTAGGGTGAGACTAATGCGGGAGCCCCGCAGCCACCTCCCCCCGGCGTCAGAAAAGCCAGCAGAAACCTTAAATCAAATGCAGCTAAGTACAATTGCAAAGCTGCAGGCACAGGCCTGAGAGAGCATTAAGCAGCATTATTATGCCTCGGCGTACTGCCGGTAGTGACATTACCGCAACTTAAAATGTTTGGGATCAGAACTGCAGAATCTATTCTTTTCTGTGGGTTTTGCCTGGGCTGCATTTCCATTTTTCTGAAGAAAATACCTGGTTGGCTCAAACAACCTTCTGCACTTTGCTGTTCAGCTCTCCAGGGCTTTTCTTGCCTTCCTGCTCCCCATTGTACGTCAAAGGCGGACGGATGCTTCGCCCTCACTGCAGCATCCTGAAGGAGCATCCATGCTGAGTCCAAACATTTTCCGTCACCCCTCCGCGCTGCCAGGTTGCCTTTATTCTCTTCCTTTCTCTTTTTTTTTTTTTTTTCTCCAGCTTCCCTTCCTGAAGTTGAATGACACTGTGCTAATTTGTAGCCCAACTCCTCCTGAGACTATTGAGCTTAATTATATTTTTCTCGTTGTTGGTGAATGGCTCGGCTCTAATTATGCCTGAAAGTGCATTATTTAGGACTAACCTGAGATCAGCATCCCCTCCAGGGTGCTAGGGCATCGGCGGCTCCGAGGAGATGTTATTTAAGGTGCTGAACAACGGGGGCCTGTGAACCTTGTGATGCAGAGGAGCTGAGTGCTTGCCAAATGCTGCCCGTCTCCGGGACTCATATCCCTCGCACTGGTAACAGCCCTTCCTCTCGTCTGTAGCCCAGCCATGAATTGCAAAACCTTGAACCGTGGTAGCAGAAGGAAATCCTGGAGAGAATTAGGGTCTGCCCGCCTTGCATTAAAACTGCCGTCACCCATCGCGGAGAGCTGGAGTCGGTCCTGAGCTCCCCCCGGTGCTCCACGTGCTCATCCTCCACATCCAGCGGCTGTGCCGAAAGCCCAGGGGTGAGGACGAGCTTTTTGGCCCACCTCTCTTGCCCAGATACTCTATTGTAGTTGACCATAACACAGCAGTGCCTACGGACGTTTTGCCTTAATTATCAACGTTCTCCCTAATGAGATGGGAGCCGGTGTCTCCAGTGCATCCTTCCAGGGTAGCAGCAGCAGGAGTGATGGCTCTTGGCTGGAACGAGAGGGGAATTAAGCTCCCCATAGCAGAAGGAGGACACCCTGCGTCTGCACTTTAAACAGGCTGAAAAAGGGCTCCCTCGGCAAACCGAGAGTTGATACCAGCAGTCGTTTTTCGGACCTGATTCAGAGCCCTGCTCGCCCATCGGCTTTACACGAACTATTCCAGTGAACGGGAGATACAAGAGGAAAGAAAGTGTTATTTCATTTTAATTGCCTCGAAGCAAATTTAGGAGAATCATCTACCAAACCTAAAAACTATTCCTTAAATGAGCTTACTTTTCTGTGTCACGGATAACATCGTACTCTCTTCAGACTAAAACAACTTGAAGAATCCAATTTACTTGTCTTCAGTACACTATGTTTTTAGCCTACTTTCCTCAGGAAATGGGGCTTACTTATGTGATTGTGCTGTTTATATATCTATATGCCATCACTCCCACACTAATAACTTTTGAACGTGTTGGCCAATTCCAACCACATCTGACAGAGCGGTAGAGTTTTCAAAAATACTGAATTCTTACAAATTTAATGAAATACGTGGGTGGGCACATATTTTCCCCCACCAAGGGAAAGGCTGCAGAGTGAACTCAGCCATATTATTAGACAGAAGAGAATACACACACACACACACACACACACACACACACAGATGCACACCAGTGCTGTTATAAAATCCCCAGGTGCTGGCAAGCCAGAGCTCACGTTGGTATTAGATGGGGAATATTGCACCCCTGAGCCCCCAAACCACCAAAACGAGCATCAGGATTCCTCCGCCAAGGCACCCACTGCCTATTTTGCGCCTTTCTTTCCATTTAGACCATGCAATTTGGTGTGGGCACTGCAGGGGAGTGTTTATTCATTTAGAAGCTTGAAAATTAATCAGATTAATTCTACGAAAGCCTTTCTAGCTGGTTCTGGGTTTGTGAAATCCTGCTCTCTTCTGGCTCTTCAGGCTGAGGGGAGACCATCCATGCAAAAACCCTCGCAAAGGGGAAGAGCTGGAGCTGAAGGATCGCGGGTTTCAGACAAAGCAGATGTCCCCACTTTCATTTCAAGGTCCTCGGGCCTCTCCTGTGTGCAGCCAAATTGCAAACCGAAGACGCCATCCAAGACTTCGGGCTGAGCCTGTACGCCCGCCTAATCCCACCTGCCCCATGTCTCCAGCAAAGCCTAAATCCTGCGATCCTGCCCAGACACAGCCGAGTGGTTTGGCTCTTCGTCGATGGGTTTGGGGGTCTCAACAGAAACTGTTAACACAGGCAGCAAAAATTCCTGGGATGGATGTCATTTGCGGTTGGGAACCCAGCACTGAAGCACAGCGCGCATCACGTTGGAGTCTGTCTGTCCCCGGCTTGTGCAGCGAGAGATGGGCTGCGCAGCAGATCAATAAAGGGCTTTGCAACACACCAGCAGCCCTCGTGCACCGGAGGCGATGGCTGTGCCATAAAAAGAGCAAGGCCCTGGGTTTTCCCGGCGCTTGCTTTCTTCCCCATGTGTCTAGTCAAGAACAGACTAGTTAAGACGGAGCGCAAATGGTGGAGGGAGCCAGGCTGCAGGATGGAGATGCTGGGTTGCTCATAGAGCAGGATGGAGATGCCGAGTTGCTCACAGAGCAGGATTGAGATGCTGAGTTGCTCATAGAGCAGGATGGAGATGTCGGGTTGCTCATGGAGCATCTTCTGGTGGAACCAGATTCAGGCACATCCTCAAAGCCGTGCACTCCTGTTCATTCATTTCTCTGCATCTTCACTGATGATTAAAGGGGTCCTCTGGGTGGTCCCCAAATCCCACAGCTTTTCTCCTCCTCCATGCACAGGTATGGTCCCGGGCTGCATCCTGCCTCCTAGGGCTGCTGCTGCTCTCCAGCAGAGCTCAGGACTGCGTGCTCCAGCTGGTACAGGGGAGGAAGGTATTCATGCCCTGGCATTGCTGTCTAATTTGATTTTTTTCCTTCTCTCTCATAATTAGAAGGTGGAACATCATATGCCAAGAGCTCATTAAAGTATTTCCAACATGTGGGGTCATATCTCTTCCACCTCCTGCTCTCATGGATTTCTAGGACCGCTACCACCTGGGGACAGTGGATGCTCAGGTTCTCAGACCTGGCATCCCATGGCAGACTAGAGCTCCACATTTCCAGGATTCAGGCCTTTGTGTGGAGGCATTCACCCCCCCAGATCA